AGAAGTAAAGGCAAGAGTAATTAGCATTACAAGTTCTAGACAGGGAACTAGAAAAAAGTCAGAACAGGGCAATTTTCAAATGTTCACATGAAAATCCATTGGAATTTCTCGACAAGGGCTTCCAAAAGCATCCCTCTATAAGGTTCCTCCTCATTTTTCCAAAAGAGAAATTTAAAAAAACTTAATTCAGCTTTATTTGTCTCCTAAGAACTGGAATGAGGAAGTAAGAAGCCATTCGTGCACTCGGACAGGAAATAGCTTCATGATATCCTTAGAGGATGTGGCCTTCGAGCCATACACCACCAATGTTTTCATGAAATGCAGCTACAAGCTCCAGTCCCTGTCTCCCTCTTCCACCCTCACATCTGCCGTGGGTCTGTCCCTTCCTCCTGTGCCAGCCAGTGGCAACTGAGGCAAAACTCAGAGGCTCTAAAATGGCTGCACTTGTGAAGCCTGGGCCATCTCCAACCTTCCTAATGCTCTTTCTAACCAGCCCCATTCCACTCTCCAGGTTCCAACAGAGATGAGCTGGCCAATCTAGTAATAGCCTGCAATTCAATTAAACAGAAGTACTGTTGCTCTTTGGAGAAACAAATGGATCACAGAAAGCTGAAATGCAGTTTGCCCATTAGTGTTCCGATTTAAATCTCAACCGTTCAATATTTCAACAAATGTTTAAAACGTTCACCATGTGTTTTCTGGCCAAGTGGAAATAGCTATCAGAGAAAGACTCTCTGAGAGATAGGGCCCTTTTCCATCAGGGTTCTGACACTTTCAGACGCAACCACAGAAGGCTGGATGTGAGAGCAATGTGAAGTAGAGACAGGGCAAAGGGGTGGGGAGGCTACTCAGGGCGCAGACAGAGGGCACTCAATACTGATTTGTGTTGTTATTTGAATCCAATACAGACCAGGAAGCGAGGGGGCTAGCAGTGAATTCTGCATGCCCTGGATTCCAGCAAGGTGACCCACTCAGTGCAGGTGGCGGGGAGAGATCCCTCCTCACTCTCTGGTGCTGATGATGCCTTTTGCATGCAATACCGAAGGCACCACAGTAGTTATCACACCTGGAATATTCTTCTTCAGTTGCTCATCCTAGTTCAATCCATTTTATGATGCCTGGGACAAGGTCCATTTGATTCTTTCAACTTAGCAAATATTTTAGAGTAGTTAAACCATGCCAGACACCATCCAGGCTCCAGGGATATTGACTCAGTCCTTGCTTTTATGGAACTCATGGACCAAGCTGGGAAAGAGTCGTTCATCAGGTGATTCCCTCAAACCAATGAAAAAGTGACAATGAGACCAGCCCTGTGTGCAGAGCGTAGCGTGACATTGCATCAGAAGGAATGGGGATCTGGTGGCAGAGGTTGGGAAATGGTAGGGATCCACAAGGGAAGATACACAGGCACTGACTGGGCAAAGGGAATGAAGGAGAAGATTCAGAAAGAAGAATAGAATAGGCGGGGCACAGTCCTGGAAGGCAGAGGGAGAAGAAGCCCCCCACCCCAAACCCAGGGGAACAGGCTCAAAGCAAGAGGCAGGGTTGGGTTTCTTCTGGGTGTGGGCTTGGGATGTGAGACAGATGCCAATGGAAAATGACCTGCCAGTCACGGAGCCTCCATAGGCTTCAAGAAGGGAAGTGACATGATGTGACTGCACAGTGACAAACTTGCTCTGGTTACTGTGTGGAAGAGTGGACAGTAGCCACCAGGGAAGAAGGGGACCAGGAAACCATGGTAGAAGTCTAAGGAAGAGGAAGGAGGTTGGGACCAAGTGGAGGATGGCGACCGGAGAGCAGAGAGCTAGCTCAAAGGGCTCAGGAGTCAGACAGCGAGCCTTGGTGAGGGGCTAGATCTGGAGGTGAAAAAGCTGAGGCTCAAGAAGGGTGCTGCAGGGATGGAGAGATGGCTCAGCGGTTAAGGGCACTGGTTGTTCTTGCAGAGCACCTGGGTTTGATTCCCAGCACTCACATGGCAGCCAACAACCATCGATAACTCCAATTCCAGGGGATCTGACATTCTCTTCTGACCTCTTCGGGCATTGCACGACACAGGTACACTTACACACATTCAGGCAATACACTACACTAGTACACATATAATAAAACTAATAAAAGTTGTTTTTTTTAAAAAAGAAGAATGCAGCATTTCTATCCTGGGCCCCTAGGGAGGACAGGGCCACCACTGAGGATGACAGGGGAATGTCTGGTTCTAGACATGTTAAACTGAGACACATCCATTCATGCAACAGGAGGCAAACACGGAGTAGGAACTGGTCAAGGGGTCTGGGGCTCAGGGGGAACCAGATCTCTACTCCACTTTCCTACTTTCAGGCTGAAAGCCTTGCATGGATTTATAGCTCAGGCTCTGCTAAGGCAACCTACCCCGTAGAGGCTCTTCTCCATCTTTTTATCCTGCAACCCCAAGGTCTCAGAGGAAGGAGGCACCCAGCCTGGGGTCACGGCAAATTCCACCCAACCCTCCCTCTGACTCTCACTCCTCCCTCCTCCCCCGCCATGTCCTCCTAAGAATGCCACGTTCTCCCTCCTTTCATTTCAGCCCCACTGTGATGCCCACTGTCTTTCCTCTCCCCTGCTCCCCTAGTCCATGCAGTGAGTCCTCTGCCTTCTGTCTCCTTAACATTGCTCATCCCCGCATCCTCAAGACAATTGCTCAGCTGACTCTGATGAGCTTTGTCCACAACATGGTTGGTTCCCTGTCCCCAAAGCCTCCCTCCCTCCTGGCTCTCCTGTCCCTTCTCTGAATATTCCTCATTATCAATTTCTCTGGTTTCTCCTCCCCTACCCCTAGGCTCTGCCTAGAATGGGCAGCCACTGTCCCCAACCTCCAGCTTCACGGTTGGCCCCATCCCCAAGCTCCTGCCCTTTCACACTCAGCAAAGTCACTGCACCTTAGACAGAGCCAAGTAAACCACAGAGAGATGCCTCCCTAGCAACATGTGAGTTGCATAAGGTCTGGATGAAATCTTGAGATAGGGAAAGGAAAGAGGGAGTGGCCAGAGACTAGAGGAGGAGCCTTTTCTAGTCTCTGCTTCAATGAAGGGATTCCTGAGTTTTCTGGAAAGATCCAGTGACAGGGGCCATGATAGATCCTATATGGAAAATGGATGTGGCTCCTTGAAAGGGCACTGTGCAAGAACACCCCATGTGACCCTGGCAGGCAGGAAGCCCTGTGCTCTGGCTCTGGGTCTGAAATCTATAGCAAAACCTCCTCACAATGGGTCCAAGGTTGTAATGATCTGCTATAGGACACTGGTTTTGATCACCATCAAAGATCCTTGGTATTTTGCTCTTAAGTTGCAAACAATCTCAAGACCCCAGGGATAAATGATTTGGAAAGCTTACTTTCTTCCAGAACTTTCCCTGCTCCTCATCTTCCTTTTTCCTTCTCATGCGAGTCAGCTAACTTTGAGTACCTCACCTTTTGTTTCCAACTGTGAATGCTCAACAGAATCATAAGAGACCTTTCCAAACTACCTACCCTGAAGAACTCCAAGTCACCATGTCACAGAGATATTGGCCCATCAATGCTTACTGCAGCACTATCCATAATAACTAAGCTATGAATGAACCTAGGAGTCCAACAGAAGAATGAATAGAGAAGATGCGGTACATAAACATAATGGGGTGTTTTTTCGTCCATAAGAAGAACAAGCTATATCCTTTACAGGAAAAGGGATGCAACTGGAGATAATCATATTAAGAAAATTAAGGCAGGGGGCTGGAAAGATGGCTCAGCGGTTAGGAGCACCGGCTGCTCTTGCAGAGGACCCACATGGTGGCTAACAATCGTCCGTAACTCCAGTTCCAGGAGATCTGATGCCCTCTTCTGACCTCCTCAGGCATTGCATGACATGGATGCAGTTACATACATGCAGACAATACACTCATATGCATAAAAATAAAATATTTTTTTTTAAAAAAATATTTCCCAATGGATCTCCTCAACTAGTGATATGGTGTGTGTCTTGGTGATAGAGGAATGGCAATGGAGTTGTAGTATACATACATCAGTAGGATAGGCAGTAGACCTGAAGTGACATGGAAGGTGGCCATGAATGTGTTATGAATTTTGTAGTGAGAATTGTTTCTTTTATAGAAGATATTATTGTCCTCATTAAAACGTTGCATTTTTGAAGTGTTCTGCAGCATAAAGACATCACGTGGGAATGATGGGACTGAGGCTCTTACATCATCCATACCTCTGTCTTAGAACCTGCAATTGGTTAACTGCCTTGTAGCATTGCTTTTCTTAGGTAAATTGTGAGGATGAAAGTACTTCTGCGGAAAATATTGCGGCAGCCAAAGGAGTCTTTGTCGGGGAAGCCTGACGTGGAGGCCTCCCGGTGATAAGGGAGGCTGGGCGCTGTTTGTGCGAGGGCAGGTTCTTGTCCAATTTCTTAGAAAATGGTCGATGAAGAAAATCCCCTCTTTTCTCTTGTTCTTTGGGCTTTTTATCCTGCACAGCATGGAATTCAAAGTCTCTTGTCCAGGTATCCAGGGAGGCCTCATAGGGTTCCTAGGTGGCTCGGCACTTCTCTATCTGGTAGAACTGGGTCTTGTAGCAGGTGCTATCTTGGATGTCAGATTTCTATCAGAGAAGAAAAGAAAAGGTAAGGTTTTAGTCTTGGGAAATGGAAACGTCCATTACAGTCATGAATTTTTCAACCAGTGGCTAGTTGAGAAAGTATCAAAAATGGCAGTCCTACTCCAGGATGCGGCAGGAGGAGAGCCGGGAACCCAGAGTCAGGCAGTGTACTTCTGCCTCGGCTCTGCTAGCAAAGTGTCAGGTGACCCTGGGCCAACTCTGCTCCTTACCAGGCAGCAGTTCCTCCATCTGCCCAATATTTACTCTAGGTGAGAAAGCAGAAACCAAACAGTTAAGTGGGAAGAACAACCTACTTATCAAACTAAGTAGGACACAGATCATACATGTCTGATTATTTAAAATAGTAGGTAGGGGACTGGGAATATAGCTCGGTTGACAGTGCTTGCCTAGCCCCCATGAGCTCCGGGTTCCATCACCAGCACCAAATAAAACTGGACATGGTGCTGTACACCTATAATTCCAGGACTTGGGATATGGATGCAAGGGGATCAGAAATTCAATGTCATCTTTGACTACATGGTAAGTTTGAGTCTAGCCTGGGACACATGAGACTCAGTCTCAAACAAACAAGATAAAACAAATGCAGAAAAAGAAATAGCATGAAAACATACCACCCAAAAGAAAGCCACGGCAAGCTGTGACAGAGGTTATAAAAGAGGTGGGTAAGGCCAGGTGTGGTGGTGCATACCTTTAGTCCCAGCACTTGGGAGGCAGAGGATCTCTATAAGTTCAAGGCCAACCTGGTCTAGTGAGTTCCAGTACAGGTAGAGCTACAGGAAGACCCTGTCTCTCACACAAACACAAACACACACACACACACACACACACACACACACACACACACAAAGATAAGAGGCAGATAAACACACCTAAGACTATGTGGAGATGCTATCTTGACTGGAGAGAGAGAACTAAGTGACCCATTAACTTATCAACCAACAAAGAGTTAAGGAATGTCCTTACAGGTTCCCCAACTTAAAACACATGCCCCCTGGTGTTAGGAAAAAGAAAGCAAGAGAGAAAGGAAGAAACAGCAAAGTGAGATGCTTTGCTTCACTGAGCTGGCTTTCAAAATCATATACAGTTTGTCAGCCACTGGCTCATAAGCTAACTGGGACAGTGCCTACAGGACAATTAAATCAACCACACCTGCAAATTGCTGAGTGGACTAGTTGCAATCACAGGATCAGTTCACTCTGAGTAAAAACAGTCAATTTGCCTACAACTTGGATTCTCAGCTCAGGTAAGCCCTGTGATAAGAGTTAAATATGAACACACAACAAAACAAAAACCCTTCTTCAGTTGGAACTGTATGGCTGGAGTTTCCAGGCAATGTTTTCCACAGAACAAAGCCACACTCAGCTTTGCAAGACTTGAAACTGATGCTTGATAAAGCAGAGGAGCCAGAAGCCCAGGCTAAGGAAGGCACAGCCTTAGAGCTTCGAACAGTGCCCCTCTCACTTGAGGTGAGCTGTGTCACTGTGTCTGGAAAGTGCGAATGACCAAAATTCATATGTGTAAATGTAGACGGAAACTGTTTCAAAACAAACGCCCCTCCATTTTGCTTGGTAGAACACCCAAAGTAGAATGGTCTCAATCTGCGGACTTAGCAAAGTAGCATCATCACTCAGTAATATGTAAAGCCATGAACTTTGCAATACTCAGTTCCATAAAAACACTTTAATATCTGAGCCATGTTCACCATTTGAAAATGGAAGTCAGTGTGTGAACAACTCCTCTTACTTGGGAACCATTTGAAGGCTTAACTTTTAACCTCTTGCCTGGTGGTCTCCCAATGGTTATCAGTTAGAGCCTTTATGAGTGAAAACACTGTGAGCAGACAGCTATAAGAATATGCATATTTATAATTCATCATGTACTGCTGTACTAATACATCCTCTAGACTATAAAATAACAGTACAGTAGGAATTTAAGGATAAGGTAAGAGATGTGGGACACATGGTCTGCTTGTAGAAAAGAAATGAAAAACAGTTTCAAGGCCCATATGTCTCTTAAGATCTCCTGATGAACAGAGAGCCAACTGTGGGGTACAGAAATTGTCTTACTCTGTCCTTAGCACTTAACAAAAACAATAGGAATGATATAATGCTATGGTTTGAGTGTGGCTCCCAAAAGTTCATATGCTGCAAGCTTGGTCCCTAGTGTAGCTGTGTTAGGAAGCGGTCATAGAATCTTTAAGAAGTGGGGCCTGGTGTGAGATAATTAGGCTATCAGGAACATCTTTCTTGGAAGGGACTGGTGCTGGTCTCACACAGTGAGTCAGTTGTCAAGAAAGTGGGTTGTTTAAAAAGTGAGGCTACCCACACACACTTGGCCCTTCTGCCTATAGTTATTTCCCTTCCCTCTTCTCTACCATGTTGTGACACAGCCATGGGGACTGTCCCCAGAGGCCAGATTGATTGGGCATGATCTAGACTTCTACCTTCCAAAACCATGAGATTAAATAAACCACTTTTTAAAATGAGTATTCAGTCCCTTGGGTATTTTGTTACAGCAACAGAACATAGACTAATATATACACACTACATATCAAAGCTTGACTGTAGAGCCTGTCTTTCTGGGTTTGGCATGTGTCCTAGTTAGGACATATTCCAAACTGTCAACCTGACACAGCATAGAATCAACTAAAAAAATAGTTTCAATGGAGTAATTTTATCAGGTTTGTCTGTGGGCATGTCTATGAGGGACTGTCTGGATTATTAACTGATGGAAAAGGGCCCAGCCCACTGTGGTCAGTACCATCCCTAGGCAGGTGGTCCTGAGCTACATAAGGAAGTTAGTGAGCTAGAAAGTCAACCAGAGCAGCCTTCCTCCACGGTTCTGACCTCTAGGCTCCTGCCTTGAGTTCCTGCCCAGGACTTCCCTCAATGATGGATTGTGACTTGGCAGTGTAAGTCAGATAAACCCTTTCCTTCCTAGGTTGCTTTTGATTAGAATGTTCAATCACAGCAACAGAATGAATCCTGGATCACAGGACTTCTTCAGTACTTTCCCTGTGACTGACACAGCCACAGTGGGATCATCCCACAACCTCAAATATGCAAATCTGTCCGAATCAGAAGTACCACCCATCACGGCTTACGCAGAACACTTGCTCCCTCATAAACACCACTCTCACTTTGAAAAGCATTTTAACATTTCTTCTCATATATGTTTTTCATTTGGTGGTTTACACACATATACCAAGCAAGTTCCGTGGATAATTTCTTGAGGAAGGAAAATATCCTAAGCTGAATCAGCTTAGGAACACCTGCATGTGTATCCAGCTGTTTGGCTAAACCTCCTGTCCAGCATCTTTATATATAAAGTCATATTTTCTGACTCTCTAGTCTATCTGCTAACAAGAGACACATGTGGCCATCTTGAGTTATGAATATTATTTTGGTCATTTCTGCTGTGTCAGGTGTAATATCATTTCCCCAAATGCAGGTGAATTTTCATCCAAGATAGAAACTCCAAAAAGTTTATGGGCCTATGGGTTGGTGGAATTTTGTGACACATTGGGAATTTTGTGACTTTAGCACTGAGTTATCTCTAGAAGTTTGATTTTGCCATCTAAATTCTAAATGTATTCCTCATAGAGACAACTATACACCATCAAATCTTAAGGCGCAACATAAACAGGATCGTTATCTTCATGAAAGTGAATACTCAATCAATTCTCAAACGGGCTTCCTGCCGGTCTAAGTTTCTTCAGCTGACTTTTATAAGAGCTGGTCCACACCCATGCTTCTGGGTTGATGAGAAACAGTTGTGTATAGAATCCATACTGTCTTGTAGAACTCTTTTCAAATCATCGTCCATTTAGAGAGAAGTGACATCATCAGTACAGGACGCTAAAGCATGTCAGTGCTCTTCCCCAGGGACATATGAATTGCTCTGGCCAAAATGATGAAAGGGACAACACGCCAAGGTACCACTGTCCACCCATATAGTGGGTCTCCTCACTGTACCTCACTAGTGGCCCAGGACACCTTGCCAGGGAGGTCCACTGTGTTCTTACTTTCTGGAGAAGTAAATCTAAACACTTTTTTCTTTGCATTCTGAGGTAATTTGTTTCAGGACTCTCCACAAATACCAATTCTGTACAAGTCCTTTATAGGAAATGGGGTGACATTTGCATATAAACTATGTACATTCTCCCATATCCTCTAAATCTCTTAATTCAATGGAAATGCTATGTAATTATTATTTAGAGAATAGTAAGAAAAAATTCTGCACGTTAGGCGCTAATACAATATTTTCCTAACTATTTTTGATCTGTAGCTGGCTGAATCCTGCAGACACAAAGCCTCAGATCCAGAGGGCTGACTGCAGTGACTTTTTCATAGCTCTACTTTATAAAGTAGTGTCTGCCTGCCAGGCACTGTTTCCCAACGTTTATGAACAGAAAAGACCCTGATTCCTCTAAAGTGGAGAACCAAGAGCTAAGGAGTGGTAGGGAACATAAGCTGAGAAGCTGAAGGAAATGAGGCTCAAACCCTTCACAGTCCTGACCAGGGCTTAATTCTACAGAACATCTGAAAACATCTCAGATTAGCAGCATTGCCTGAGAAGCAAGTTTTGCTGTTATTTTATCCCACATTCAAGAAACTCTACCTCATATTAGGTTAAATTAGTGGTGTGGATCAAGCGTCAGTAACATGGTAACACTGGACAGAAGAGGCCGCCTCTAGGGTCCCCACTCACCCCTGACAAATAGCGCTCAAGTTTCTTGTTTAACAGGAAGTAGATGGCAAGGATGTGGCAGGCACGGTTGGAGAGCACCGTGTTGATGACGTCACTGTTCTTGTAGCCCAGCTTCTCTGTCATGTGCAGCACCACACTTGGGGTCAGGTCTTCCAGAGAAATCCTGTGAGATGGAGACACAGAGAACCAGTCACCTCTCCGTCTTCACAGTGCGGCTCACAAACATGGCAACACAGAGATGGCCCACACAGACCCCTGTGGATAGTTGGGTTTCCTCATTCCCTCACTCCTTCACTTGATTTTTTAAGGTGAGGTCTCATGTAGATCAAGCTGGCTCAAAACTCTCTACATAGCCAAGAGAATGACTTTGAACACCTGATCTTCCAGCATCCACCTCTGAAGTGCTGAACTGCAGACGTGTGCCACCAAACCTGCTTTATGTGGTACTGGGGATTTGAATTTGGGGCTTTGTTTACGCTAGGTGGGCACTTTGACAACTGAGCTATATATCTAGGCTCACTTGGCTTTTTATTTTGAAATTTTTCATATGTGCAGAAACTGGAGGGTATATTAAACAGTGAAACGTCCATTCCTATGTTTCCCATCCATGGGATTCAGTCAATCTCAGATGGAGAATATACAGAAAAAAATGCATCTATACTAAGCATAAAGACTATAAAAGCTTTCTTATCATCATTATTCCCTAAGTAATACAAGATAACAACTATTTACACAGTATTTGGTATTGTACGTAATCTAGAGCTGATTTAAAGTATGCGGAAGGATGTGCATAGTTGATATTAAATTATGCCATTTTATACAAGGGACTTGTGCATCCCTAGATTTAAAAAAAAAATTCTGAGGGGTGTGTGCTTCCTAGAAATAATCTCCGCAGATAGAGGGATGACTTTGAGTTTTATGTGCATCACCTGGTGACTTGCTTCATCTCTGTTGTTCTTGCTGCTAAAGTGCTTTTAAAACGCAGACACCATGCCATTTCTAAACACGTCAGTATGTACTTTTACAACCAGGTGACAACCAAACCTGGTGGCACAGGCCTATCATCCCAGTTACTCAGGAAACTGAGGCAGGAGGATCACAAGCTCAAGGCCTGTCTGGGCTACAGAGTAAGTTCAAGGTCAGTGCTGGGTAATTCAGTGAGATCTTAAAGTAAAAAAGCAAGGGCTGAGACGATGGCTCAGTTGATGAAGTGGTTGCCGTGCAAGCACAAGGACATGAGTTTGATCCCCAGAACTCACACAAAAAAGCTAGGTACACACTTACGGTCCCAGCACTGGAGAGGTGGAGATGAATGGATTCCCCGAGCTCAGTGGCCACCAAGCCTAGCCTAATGGGCAAGCTCTAGGCCAATGAGAGAGCCTGTCTTGAAAATAAAGTGGACAACACCAACAAATGACACACGTAAACCGTTCCTTTGGCCGCCACCTGCACCCCCCCACATGTGCATGCCCCTCCACACACACGCTTGTACCCACCCACACAAGAAGTAAAAAGAAGGCTGGAGATACAGTTCAGAAACAGTGCTTAAGTTTGTGCGAGACCCTGGGTTCAATCCCCACTACCATAAAAGGATGGATGGATGGATGGATGGATGGATGGATGGATGGATGGACGGATGGACAGATCTAGACCCAAGGACATTTCCTACAGAAACACACCCCTAGTAGAACTGTAATAATCCCTTAATATCATCTAATATCTAGATTACACTCCAATTTTTCTGTGACCCAAAGTTCTTTCAATTAAACATTCTTTCCATAAAACATATTTCTTGGTTGTGAGTAGAACTCACACTTAGCCTGCCTTGGGGCTGGGAAGGAAGGAAGGCCAGATCATGCTTAGGAGACTGAAAGTGCTCACAGGTCCATACCCAGGGAGCCTAAGGCTCAGCTTCAAAGCAGGCTGCTCTCAGAGGTCCTGGAAGACCCTTCTTCACAGGTGTACGGTGAAATAAATCCCTTGCAATAAAATGCTGAAGAGATACTAGGATTGATTGTTTTCACTTGTTCATTCACCCACCAGACCTTGCCTCATACTGTTGACATTCCAGTAGGAAAGAGATACAAAGTAATGGAGCACTCCCGGCAGTCCTACTAACCACTCTCCTTGTCCTACTAACCACTCTCCTTATCCCGACAACAGCAAAGTAATTTTCCCCGGGTCACAAAGTAGAAAGTGGCAGTCTCAGAATTAACACAGACCAGGTCAAGTCTGGATGCTAAACCTCTACACTTGCTGCCTCTCAGTGGACACAGTGAATAGTCACAGGGAAGAATGACCCTGAGTGATGCGGCCAGGTCATCAGATAGAACATCCTCAGTCCTTGAAAAGACGAATAGTTAGGGAAAGATGGCTCAGTGGTTCAGATCACTGGCTGCTCCTGCAGAGGAGCCGGGCTCAGTTCCCAGCACCCACATGGCAGCTAGCAATTGCACATAACTCCAGTTCCAGGAAATCAAACACCCTCTTCTGGCCTTCAAGGGCATTGCATGCATGTGGTATACTTTAAGGAAAGATACAACTAGAGTACTCTGAGAAGAAGCCTGTCTCCAAAACCAGTAGCTTCCACCAGAAGTCCAAAGATTTTCTGATGGAACCTCAGACCCATAACACCTAGAAAAAACCTACAGTGTAACCCATAATAGTAAAGAAGAGGAAGCTGGCCTGCCCAGGGCATATGACCAGTTGGTAAGGTTACTGAGTACAGGATTAAGTCTCCTGACCACCACCCACCCATCAGTATAAGCCTCATGAGCTCTACCTATACTAGATTGAGCTGTGATGTGCAAAAACCCCACTCAACAGAACCATGAATCAGCCTTCCTCACTTCTGTTTGCCACAAAAATCACAAATTACAGATAGAGTGGGAGTTGGTTTGGAAGGGCTAGTGGTTAAAAAAAAAATAACATATTTTTAAAAAGAAAGAAAACAGGTGTTAGGGTGCAGCTCAGATGCATAAGCCAGGGCCTAGCATGCATGATGCTCTGGGTGCTATCCTCAAATGACTCTGGTTAAGAGCACTTGCTGCTCTTGCAGAGGACCCAGGTTCTGCTCCCAGCACCCATGCAGTGGCTCACAACAGCCTGTAAGTAACTTGTTTCAGGGGATCCAACACCCTCTTCTGTCCTCTGTGGGCACTCACACACACGCACACACAGAGGCATAAATAAAAACAACTAAACAAATAAGTAAACCTAAGCTGAAATATAAAAAATACAGCTTCTTGAGCTGGCCATGGTGGCAAAGGGCTGTGATCTTTATAATGTGAGCACTTGGGAGGCTGAAGCAGGAGGATCCCAAGTTCCAGGGCAGCCTGGACTACATAGGAAGACTTTGTCACAAAACAAAACCAACTTCCTGGTTAATAAAGTAACAAAACACTTAACATATGAGACATAGTTGTGTGAAAATATTTGGCATCACCAATGTGGGTATGTCTCCAAATCATAGCCAGTCAAACTGTGGCCACACTGGCATAGGCCAGCTTCTGTATGATGCCTTAGAGAGTATGGGAAGGTGAGACAGGTCACCTCAGCATGTGTGGAAACAGAGGGAGGGACAGAGGCAAGAGGAGGGGAGGGACGTGAGACCCCATCTCTGCCCTTTGTATCTACTGTCTTCAAAAACCACGAGAGTCCTGCCAAAATCTCAACACCCCAACACAGGCTGAGGCAGGAGGTTTGCTATGAGTGTGCAACTGGCCTGGGTTACAAAGTACCAGGTTAGCCAGGTGACACAACAAGATCCTGTAACAGGGGTATGGGAGGGAGAGAATGTTCTAGAGTGCAAAATGTAATTTGGACTAAGTAAATTCATATCAACTTGTTTTTATACCATTTTGGTCTGATTCTGGCCCCTCTCCGAAGCTGACTGGAGGGACGTGGGCTCTCCAGGCTGCACAGGAAAACAAGGAGAGGAAAAGTCGGGGCTGTTCAGTCAACATGTCTGTACCCACACCGGGAAGGCCAGCCAGGCATCCAGCCAACATCTGCTGACAGGCTGAGATGAATATTTATTGTAAAAATAATTATTATAATTTCCATCCTGCCCTTTGGAGAGCCACTTGGAGGTCTGTATGACTTTACAGGAGAAACTGTACAGAGGCGCGATGTAGAACTTAGAGCTTCATTTTCTTTACTTTTCCAAAGGGAAAAAAACATTGACGACATTCAAACTAATTAAATCAGGGGCTAGCAATGTTGGGAAACTAGAAAACATATTGTACCTAAAAAAATATACATCTTTCTTTGGCCGCATGTTCTTTCTCTTTTTATTTATGTGCTGGTAAAATGAGAAAAACAATGACCAGAAATACATTTTTGCCTTAAAGATTAACATGCTTTTATTCAAAATAAAAACTGTAAATAACACATACCTCCCCCAATATTTTAGAATTCTGGTTTCTAATCTTAAAATATGAATGCTGATTTGTGTTTGGCATACAATAAGCAATTGGCCTTACATAACAGAAGTCATGATGTGCTATTTTATTTAAACAAGATCTTAACCATTTTTTAACATCCATTAGCTAGTTGCTTCTGAACAAGTACACTTACACAATTACCAATCCACCCCAAACCAGTGTGAAAAGCCTATCCACCATTATCTGTGGAAAGATACAGAATAATGACGTCACAGCATGAGTCTCTGTCACTGAAGATGTAGTTAAGGAGGGCTGTATTTCTTTAAACCAGCTCCACCACCTTCGACAGCTGCTGTGTTAGCTGGATGGATTATTCTCATTTGCACAGTGATTACATCAGCTTAACGACCCATCTGATGGCCACCAATGCCATTTCTTTACCAGAAAGCAAGCCTGGGTGTCGCTCCACAGGTGACGAGGCATGGCCCCTTGGCTCTGTTTGCTGTCTCACAGGGGGATAATTTTTCTGGTGTCTGTTTCAGTTCCTGGCCCAAATTGAGCAGGTGTTAGAAAACAGCATCTATTTCCAGGTTCCCTTGGCAACCCGAGTAACCTAGACTTTGTCTAAATTACCACCCCTGAGCCAAATGCTAGAATTCTAGATGGCAACTGAAAAAACCACCTCCTCTATGGCCAGGGCAAGAGTAAATTTGGTCAAGTAGCCTAAAGGCAGACTCCCAAAATGTCCATCTATGCCCTTTAAGTTCTAGAACTTCCATCCCAAGTAATAGCCCTTTTGCCCATCTTGTTTAAGGAACTCAGCACTTTAGTTCTGATAAGGGTTGGTGGATATTTGGATCTTCTTAGGCATTTTCAAAAATATAGCTAGAGAGGACATCCTCTCCTACTGTGTCAGTCTCTCATCTGCCCCCTTGACCTGTGGTTCTCTGGTCCTTATCCAACTTGGTTGGATATGTAGGGTTTTCAAGGGATGAAAGAAAGGGGTGGGTCCCCATCATGGAAGGTGTTGGAGAGAGGTAGTCTCCATATGTGCTTAAGTAGCCAAAGGGAAATTTCTTATTCCTCACTCGGAGTGCTAAAGCGGTGACAGAGCATTCAGAAAGTAAAAGCTTTTGCTCTTGTTTTCAAATCTGTAGTCAGCACCCCAGGAGAGAGGGTCCACATGAAGGCGCCCCTCAGCGTTCCTGTCTGTAATCCTCCCTCATAGTCCATCTTTGTGGGAACTCCAGGAACTCCACAGTTAGTCCCAACATCTGGCACCTGAAGTGAACGGTCGGCCACCCTTTCTTCCCACTCTCAACACTTTATAGTAAGGGTCTTGGGGCTGAAAGAAACATTAAGAACCAAGCAGCAGAAAAGACTGAGGGGTAGTTTGAAAGACTCAGTTCCACAGGATTCTGCTTAATGTTGGCAGGAGGGTTCAAGGGCAGATTATATGCTCATGCAAATTCAGACAGACAGACAGACATAGAGACACTGACAGAGAGACAGAGACAGAGAGACAGACACACACACCCCACAGTTTGAGTAAATGGTCCCTTTGCATGAACTAGAAAGAAGTGTCCCTTGGGGATGACATAACTCATCAGAGCAAAGCCTGCTGAAGGGTCATATCCTGTAGCTCAGCTTCTACTCCCACCTCCAACCAGGCTTTACTGGGTTCATTCAGCACAAGCACACAGGTTGGCCCCAACTGCATATCCCTCTCTACACAATGAGATGGACTTGTCTGTGGGTGTGTGGCTGCAGGGGTTGACAATGCCAGTCAAGAGAAAAAAACAGCACTGCCTGCAATCACACACAGCATCCTGTCCAGAGCTGCCCAGGGGCTCAGAGGACAGGCCCCGTCTTGCTGAAGAAGGCATCCTTCTGTTAACACTAGATTACCTGTTGGGATAGGTGACATTACAGGGCACTTTCCCTGTATAATTCTCATTTAACCAGCGATTTGCCAGTGCTTGCTGAATGTTCGGCCTCTTCACGGGATCTGGTTCCAGGAGAGAGCGCAGAAAGTTGATGGCCCCTGCAAGACAGTTAGCAAAGAGCACACGTTACAGATGAACACAGTTGCAGACACTGTGGAGAGCTGTGGATGGTGGCCCACTACCTCCTTAGCCCCTCTGGGCCTCATCTGGGTGACCTCTCTGGATCTCTGGACAGGGCTTTGATTCAATGACTCACAGATCATGAGTCCAGCCCCCACCTTTGGACAGGTGAGGTTATAAGTCTGTCTGTCTGTCTGTCTGTCTGTCTCTCTCTCTCTTTCTCTCTCTCTCTCCATATCCAAGGGACATTATTGGCACCTAAGAGAGCAAGAGTAAGTTTGGTCTTCTAGGCCATATGCTTCTGGAACAACCTATGGCCTCTTCTAGATGCTCAGAGGTGAGCCACAGGCATGTAGGATAAAAGAATGGAAACCGAGAAAATGCCTGCTCTCAAGGTGGGTGGCTGACATTTGGGAAGAAGGCAGAAAGACAAGGGTATTTGAATTAGAACCTTATCATGGGACATCATATCTCAAAAGTTCTTTCTGTTTCACTGGTTTACTTATTCATTTACTGTGCTCCACTAGTGAGCTACATCCTCAGTCCTATTTTACTTTTTATCTTGAGAAAGGGTCTCACAAAATTGTCTAGGCTAGCCTTGAACTCACTCTGTAGCCCAAGCAGACTTTGAATCTTCTGTCTTCCCCGGCCTCCCAAATGGCTGGAATTTCATGTGAGTCATCAGCAGTCCTTTCTTTTAAAGCCATTCTCTACTGCTGTCTACATTTCCCCCAAACTGTGAACAGATGATGCAGCACCCAGATGATATAGGGCCAATGCATCTCAGGCTGACATGGCACCAAAAATCCATATGCTTTTGTTCAAGTATTAGGTCAACTATAATGCTGTATCCTAGTTTGTTCACAAAGTTCTAGCAAGCACCACACCGCAAACCAATGCCTGTTTGATGTGGTCCCTCCAAAGAAAGGGGCTGCCTGCACAAAATGTATGACAATACCATTTTCCCTTATTTTTCACCCTAAAGACTTTGTGCAGTCACATCAGTCATGAGTAAAGAAGGATGCAGGAAACCATTGACAAAACCATAAGATCTACACCGCCTCTCTTCCTTTCATCCCAGGCAAAAGCAATTGTTTTCAATGCCCTGGGTCTCCTTTTATTAAACAAACATTTACAGAACCCCTGCAATCTACCCAAACAGTAGAGTCATCGAGAAGCTGAAAAGCCTGGGACTATAGACCTTCTCAGCGTAAGAGTGAGTAGCAAGTCTACACAAATCAAATTCCAGGGGCTTGGCTTGTCTGAGTTCTGAGACCACTTTTTCTGTTCCATGACACCTTATTATAATGCCTTGCATGGGGTTAGGGACATAGCTCATTTGGAGGAATGCTTACCCTAGTCTGGATTGGATCCCCAGCATTACACAAGCCAGGTTTGGAGGCACACATCTATAATCCCAGCACCCGGGTGATAGAGGCAGAAGGATCAGGAGTTCAAGGTCATCCTCCACTACATAGCAAGTTTGAGGCCAGCTCTCAGGATGGATAGGATACACGAGTCTTGCTCACCTCCCTCCCTCCCCAGTGCTAGAATTTCAAGCACATGCCACCATACCTTGTATTTTTATTTTATGTGAGTTCTGGGCTCAACCTCAGGGCATTGTGTTTGCAATCCAAGCACTCTAATGACTGAGCCATCCTCCTAGCCCCCAAAATATTCTTTAATTTTCTATATATCCACTTCTCATCACATCAAATAAATACTAGAAAATAATCTTCATTTATTTTGGGTCCAAAGTGTTGTGTCCTTTTCTTTAAAAAACAGTTTCCAGTTTTCTAAGAGAATCTAGCTTTCTGAAGAGAGGTTATAAAAATTTCCACTTGCTCATTTTCTTTCATTTGTCATTTAAATGCTGTTCTTAAAAGAATGATGAGCCTTCGGTGAATACTTTTTCTACAGGGTAGAAATGAAGTCATCAAAAGAGGCGCCAATTGCGAGGCCAGAATCAACTCCAGAGAAATGACCCTTGTTAGGTCATGACCCTAAAGAACTCCAGGGAGGGCCCCATGCAGCTGGTGAAGCCATCTCCCTTTAAACAGATAGTGAGCCAAAATGAATGCACAGATGCTGTAGCAGTCACAAAGTATGTTTAACAGTCAGTTTTATAACTACATCTCCAAGGAAAGCCTTCCTAAAATCCCCCAAAGAAGAAACTTCTGGTTTTGAACTGCTATCTCCCCTTCCTTTGCACCCCTATAATGCAAGAGTCACTTGGGTGCACACAGGCGAAGAGGCCAGAGGAGGATGTCAGGTGTCCTGCTCCAGCTCTACCTATTCTCTTGAGACAGGGTGCCTCTTCACTGAACCTGGAGCTAGGATGGTGGCCAGCAAGCCCCAGCAATCCTTCTGTCTCTGCCCCCAACAACACTGGGGTTATAGGCACATGCATGACTTTTTACGTGGGTTCTGGGGATCTGAACTCAGGCCCTAGTGCTTACACAACGAATGTTCTTTCTTCCTGAGCCATCTCCCCAGCCCATCACTTGGATCTTAACTATGGGGATCTTCTATTCAAGGGCAAAGTGGGCCTGAGAACTGTATTGGGGTACTGCTGAGTTAGGGTGATTGCTGAGATATATCTCTGTTGCTCACCTTCAAAAGACTGGCATTCCCTCACACCCAAGGCCAGGCTTCTTTGAAGTATGATTAACCAGAAGGGCTAAGAACACACTGGATGTGCGTTTCTGTTCTATTTTCACTACCAAGTGCTCTGCAGCTTCACAAATTGCTGATGAGCACAAGTAATTTTAGTTCAAGTCTCTGCTGACAAATTTTATACCTTTGGACATCACAAACATCACATTACTATCCTGAAAGGACTTTGTGAACATCCTCAGAATGCTTTGAAATTTGTCTTTGGATCTTGAACACACCCAAGCCTCTAGGGCAAGAAGGACTAAACATCCCCCCAAATCCCAGAAAGCCATATTAGTGGTCACATGTCACCACCCTCCACCCCTGAGGGCTAACTCTTGGGCTCTCTACTTTGGCTGAAAGAGTTGAGGCGATCCACATAACAGGACTTAGGTACTGCTGTGGTGCAAACACTCTTTCAGAGGCCTGCAAGAATCTTCAGGTCTGAACTGGCCCTTGTGAGCACAGACGCCTTGCAAGGCTGCAGGAAACAGACAAAGCAACCTGGCTTTCTACACTAGAGCAGGCCACCAGATGCAAGCCGAGGCCTGCCCCCACTGGAGGCTGAGTTCTCATCACTTCCTTGCTAAGGAATTCTTTGACAGTGGATGGTTAAGCCTTCATGGAAATCTTAACCAAGTCCAAACTTCAGCGATGCCAATACATCTTCAGCTTCATTTTGGTGGCTCTGTAGGATAAAATCCTCTTAATTGGAAGCGACCGTCTGGAATGCATTATAAATGCTGTTGCTGTGGTGCTGTGATGAAAGTAACTGTTGGAAAAAAATTTCTCAGCCGAGAAAGGCAGTCACCAACTCTGTGATATGCAAGGGCCAACTTCCAGAGAGCGGAAACCATCTAGAAGAGAACTGGAAAGGCCCTTGAAATGGGTTTCCAACTCTGTGACAGAAACAAGGGGGCGGTTTGTTGCACATTTCATGGATTCACAGGGCGGGAGTACTATAAATTTCTTCCAACTAAAACTTGCTAAAAAATTCTTTGAACTTAATCTAAAAAGAAAACTAAGATTTAATGAATTTAATCATTACAAATAGAAATGACAGAATAGCAAATTAATAAACATATGTGTTCATGCTGGATGGTGACATTGGCACATTTTCAGTTGGGATTGACATTGCTCAAAACTCAAGACCTAAAGACAAGAATTAAGACTTCCAAGTTTGAAAATCTACCCTCCTCCACAGAGGAGAGATCTTACATTGAGTAAAATAAGGAGGGAGGCTGGAGAGATGACTCAGTTGCTCTTTCAGAGGACCCAAGTTCAGTTCCTAGCACCCATATCAGTCAGCTCACAACTACCTGTAACACCAGCTCCAGGAGACCTGAAGCCTTCTTCCTGCCACCATGGGCACCTGCACACACATGTACATATACATACACATAAAGATAAAATATATCATTAAAAACAAAAACAAGGGAGGGAAACAGCACAGTATGTAGGAAAATCAACTTAATCCACAACTCAGTTTCCAGCAGTGAAGGGGAACAATGGCATTTGCCTCACATAACTGCATGAAAACAGGATGAAACAAGGTAACAGGAAAAACACCTGCATGTAGTTATTTGATAAAGGACGGCATCTCTTGTTACAGGTAAGCTAGTGCTTCAGGACACAAGCAGGTGATATTGTAAGAGAATAAAGGGGGGACCAGGCTTGATGCAAGAGAGAAGGGTGGGCAGAAGAGCAGCAGCTGAGCCCCAAATCCAAAATCATTCAGTGTGTAAACACGACACAATGCCCCAGGCTGCCTTAGCTCCACAGTTCTGGACCCTCCTCATCCTCACACAGCCAATTCCCAACACCGAGGAGTCAAATGAACCCACGGCTGCCTTCCCAGGCCACACACACACACTCAGTCTGCAGCGAGTCAGCGTGTGGATTCCCTGAGCATCCATCATGTGCAAATACCACACTTCATACCTGGCACAAAAGATTAAAGCTCTAGTTGGGGAGAGATGTTTATATGTCACAATTGTAAAGGAAAGGGGTAGGGGTTGGGCAGATTCCTTAGAGAAAATCAGATGTAGGAATGTAATTCATGCCTGACAAGTCAGAACAACCAAGTCCTGTAGGAATGTGAAGATTTTAACAAGCACATACTGAGTACAGGCCCAGATTACAGGGTCTGTGCTCAAAGAAGGAGCCCAACTTCAGGGCTGCTCAAATTGCTTAAAACCTTTTTTGACATGTCTCCTCTAAAATTACCTTTGGACTGTTTCTTTTTAACATTGGAGGGTATATATATGTTTTACTTCTTTTAGGGATGAATTTAAGATTCTCAATCAAGAAACACCTAGAGGTCAGCCTGTGATGAAAGTAAGTCATGGAACTGAAGGACTAAGGTTTGTATTATGACCCTATGTGCCCTTGACTGTCTGCCCAACCCAGGCCCATGATGAACGCAGGCAGAACAGTCCCCTCCTCTTCCCGTACCTTTCATGAGGCTCTCCCAAATCTGTTCACATACATTTCTGTCTTTCCACCTCAATGCCCATGGCAGGGTTACGCTGTCCCGGTCCCCATTACCTGAGTAAGGCCGTGTGCCAGGCTTTTGATAGCTAGAAGGCATGAGTGCATCTTACTGCCAGGCAGAGACCTCCTGCTTGTCTTTCCCCATGGCATGGATCAGCATTGGGCTTGAGGCCTCGGTTAGCTCAGAACTCTTCAATCCTTGATCCAACTCTCATTATACAGCATGCGAAGTAGCATGGTCTCACTGAGAATTGGGGCTGGCTGTTATTGCAGCTTAACCCAGCTCATCCTGACTCACAATGGGAAGGCAGCATATCAGCAGTTGTCTGGTTCCTTAAAGTCTTACTGATGTTCAGTGACCACTGATTTCATTTTCCAGGCATATAGGCATAAACATCTTCTACATCTTCCTAATGTCTTGTGCTATGGACCATTTAGGACAAGGCAGGCTCTAAACCATCTGAGGTACTTCTGAATCACTTTGAAAGAGCAATGTTTAGGACTATGGAATGATGCCACAAATGGAGTATGCTGGGGGTGGGGTACAAAATGGTCCAGTCACTCTCAACAACAGTTTCCCACAAAACTATGTGTGCTTATTAACTGATCCAGCAATTTCATTCTTAAGCAATAGTCTTACAGAAATGAAACCAAGTTCCTAGATGAACAAAGGCCCACCTTTGTTTCCCTACAGATATCATCTGCAGATGAATGTTCACAGCATCTTTACTCATAGTAGTTCCAAACTGGAAACAATCCAGTGGTCCTTCAATAGCTGTGGTGTATCTATACTTAGGAATACAACTCAGTAACTAAACAAAAACAAAGTTCTGATGCATCCAACACCTTGAATGGTCTCATTGGAATTATGGTGAGATAAGGGATTTGCATATATTCTCCATTTCTATAATTTTTATTTCAGAAATGCATAAAGATGGAGAAAGGAGAACAGCCAGTAAGGGGCTCAGAGTGGGCAAGGGGGTGGCAATGGTTGTACAGGGAAAGGCAGGGGTCCTGGTGATGCTGCTGTGCCTTGACCACAGTGGCTGTCACAGGCACAGTGACAATCTGTGTATGTGATAAATCTGCAGTTAAACACAGGCCAGCATACATGTGGGTTTACTAATGTCAATTTCCTAGTGTAGATTATATTGCAGTCACAGAAAACATTACCATTGCAAAAAGCCAGGTGATGGACATGTGGGTTTTCCATTAATTCCTTATAACTGTGTGTGAATCTGCAAAGAGTCACAATAAAAAAATCTGGGTTTTCCCCATATTTTATTTGTTTTAAGTCCCTACATTTACCTTCCTTTCCTTTATCTGGGTTTATTTCACGTAGAGCTCCAACATTACCAACTATCTGACGTGTTGTTCATTCATTTATGTTTTGCCTCCCCCATAGATACATGCATTCTACTAAACAGAGGCTGTGGAGGCTGGAGAGATGGCTCAGCTGTTAAGAGCACTGGCTGCTCTTGCAGAAGACCTAGGTTTGAATCCCAGCACCCACATGATGGCTAACAACTGTCCGTAACTCCAGTTCCAGGGATCCGATGCCCTCTTCTGTCCTCCATGGGCATTGCATGACATAGGAGCACTGACATACATGTAAGCAATACACACATACACATAAAATAAAAATAATGAAAAAAAAATTTTTTTTTTAAGCAGAGGCTGCGTGTGACTTGTTCCCTGTCTTTCTATAACACACCCGCATGTGACTGGTCATTCATGGATGAAGGGAAGGGATCCGAAATGATGCCTAAGTAAACAAGCACTTCTCACAGTGCTTTGCAGCACTTCCAACACTGCTGAGGGTTCTGAACCCTAAACGTAGTGATTCCTTCAATATTTCACACATTTTCCAACGCCAAGAGTTATGGCTCTCGGGGCAGAAGTATTTCTTTTAGAAGACAGAACTGCAACTTATCTTCCAAAGGACAAAATGCCTCCTTTGCTCTTGGCCTCCAGAGATTCTACTGTCCCTCTTAAAGGTGAAAATGTAGCTGGAATTAGATAATTATGCACAAGAGCTAATTTTAGGTTTGATTCCATTGGCTAGCATAAACCCCAGGTCAGCTTCGTGGCTTATAAACCCAAGAGAAAGACACCTAACAGTGGCAAAATGAAATGCTCTATTTTAACCATGTACTGTAAATGAAAGTTAAATAATTATCCTTTCTGGGTCAAAAGCCACACCTCAGGGAAGCTGGATTTATTCTAAGGGAACAATTCAATTCTACACCTAAGCCAGGAACTGGGTGTAAATTGTGAACCAAACAAAAGATCAGATCCTACTCATTTACTGAGTCTGAAACTGAACCTTAGTATAAAGCTTTGACTGCAATTTGAAGCTGTTAATGTTTGAGAGAACTTCTCAAACACATCTGATGGTTTGTTCTAATGAAGTAACAGAAGCGGAAGCTGCGTATATCTGAAAGCTTTTGAACAGCTTCAAAAATTCACACAACAACTCACAGACCCAACATGAACAAAACTATTTCTTTACAGTGAACTGACTCAGGAAAACACAACTGTGCTTATAAGCTTTCCTTTCCGAAGCAACTCTGTAAAATGGTGAGCTTTAAAAAACAATCCAGCGTACAATTATTTCTCAAGCAAAAAACCAGAGGGTCCTTTTGATATATATATTCTCTACTAAAGAAGGAAGGAGGGAATCAGGGCTTCCAAATTAAAAGGAAAAAAGAAAGAATGTACGTGTGATGAACAGACCGGCTTCTCAGAGATGAGAAACCCAGCTGCCTCTGAGGCTTAGTTTTAACGGGAGGAAGGAACTTAAACCAAACAAAACACTGCTTCAGAAATGAACCCCAACCTGTCAAAAGAAAGTTGCTGAAGCTCTGGAACCAGAGCAGCAGGACTGTTACCTGTAGAGAGCTGGCTGGGGAGGGGGTTCATCTCCTTGTCCATCATCTTCTGGTAAAGAGCCCTCAGGCTAAAAGGCTCCACTGTGAAAGGCAGGGTCCCCGTCAACATGGCGTACATGTTCACACCTCTGAAAAGAGAGACAGCAAGGCATGAGACCAGCATGACGCCCCTGGATGAGAATGAAGTGCATACAGATGTAGCCAGTGTCCATGTGACCTCACCAGCTTCTGAGGCATTGTTCTATAACCCTAGCATCATGTTGTGGCTGAGGCACTGATGCTGAAAGGCTGGGGTAAGGATACTGTGGAGACATGACATGGGACTGGGAGAGGCAGGAAAGGAAAACTCCCAGGGTGATCTCCTGAGGAGGGGAAAACACGCTCCCTCAGCAATCTAAATCCAGGCTGAGCATCTGTAACCCCCAAATCCAAAATGCTCCAAATTCTGAAATCTCGTGAACACCAAAATGATACCACATAGAAAATTCCACCCCTGGCTTCATGTGACAGGTTTCTGTCCAAACAGGTACACTCAAAGTACTGTATAAAACCATCTTCAAGGGGCTCATGGGGTCCTACCTCTCTCTGCTGAACTATTGGCTACTGATAAATTCTGGGAGAGGGGAGTCATTGTTTTAAGCTGTGGACCAACTGATGAACTCATTAGACTCCAATGGATAATTCTAAACCCATGGTCACACAAATGATCCTGAGTGGGCCATAAACTCAGTGGGTTACAAAGCAAAAAGACATGATATGGGAAAGGGATTTGTAGAGAGGAGGAGAGGTTGACACAGATAAGAGAGCTAGGAGACGGTAAGGGTGAAAATGACCAGAACGTATTGTAGACATGCATGAAATTGTCAAAGAATAAGCTAGACTAATAAAAAATGCAATGCACTGAGATAAAAACAAAACAAAACAAAACAGAAAACACCTGCAGGCTGTATGTGTAGGTGAAACAGTCAATGCTGTGATCGGACTTGGGTCCCACTCCCAAGATAGCTTATTCCATGTATGTGAATATCCCCCGATCCAAAACAATCCTGAGCAGTTTGGACAAGGAATGCTCAGTTGCAGCATCAGGCTTCCAGACCAAATGACACAGGATATGCTTTTAGGAACATCAAGAGGTGTCCTACATCCTGTGATCTTCCAGGTGCAGTGTACAAGGTAGAATCCGGAAGAAGCCAGATTAAAAGCTACAGGGCCAGATCCATCCAAGAGCAGCAGTCCTGGGCTAATGAGGCCTCTGGTTACCATTCAGCCGTTCGAGACCAAAGCCTCACACCCCAAACAGTCTTTTATCATCTCTTGAATTTTCTTTGGCTTGTGACTAGAGGAAGTCTTTCCAAGTCTTATGTCTCATTTTATTATTTACTGTGGGACTCTGCCACCAGGCCCTAGCCCAATATCTCACTGCGGTTGAGATAGTTCTGAGTGGGCTTAACTGCTTATCTCTGAAGCCAACCTAGAGAACAGCAAAGTCTTCTAGGATGATTTTATTTTTCTTGATGTACAAATCTACCATCATGCCAATGAAATTTCCTGATGGGAAGAAATGCCTGCCTGCCAAGAGGTCTCCACTGTTTAAAAGCACCCAGGGCGGATATGCTTTAAAAACAGGCCATAGGATTTCCAGTCAAAACAGAGCCAATGAGACTGACTGAAATTAAGACCCTTGAGGCCTAATTCCAGAGGCGCCTCTGAATTATGGCATTCCAGACAACGACAGGTACTGAAACCCACAGCTCTGGCTTAAAGCACTCTCAAATTTCAAACACACTCTGAACCCAGAATCAGGGAGATAGACACACACAAACATTCATTCCACAGATTCTTGCTGGATGCCTCTTGCTGGATGCCCCACACAGGGTTATAGAGGCTGGGTACTGTGAACCAGAGAAGGACTCCGTCATCTTGAACTTTGAATCGGGGAGAAACCAGCAATGGGAAAATATACAAATAAATAAGGACTACCCTTTCAGGAGGCAAGGACAGCAAAGAGAGGAAGAAAATGTTGGGCAGCACTTCTTTTGATAGAGGAGGTCAATTAAGGGAGACAATGAACTTTTAAGTCCATGAAGACAGGGTGGCCTCTCAGGCTTTATGCAGGGGCTTGTTATACATCTTTGGTTAGATGGACATGAAGACCATATGATAAACTACATAAACCAAAAAAAGGAGAGAGACAAGAACAGACGAATCACATGTAGAGTAGTATACAGAAGCAATCTGTGGTATCTGTTCAGTGTAATGCATTCTCCAGGGCACAAAGAGATATGAACAAAAGTTCCATGGGGGTAGTCATCACAGGGAAATAGATGAAAGGGGCTCAGGGCAGGGAGCTAGAGACTGTGAGAGCAATCGCAGAGTGTGGCTATTAAGTCAAAATGGAAGAGATAGAGCGCACACAGAAAGCAAAAAGGCAACAGGCATGTGAAGAGAAGTGTCAAGTTGCAAACTTGGAAAGCCAGACAGTGATGGTAACAGAGACAGAACCAAGGAAGCCAAGGGAGGTAGTCTGGAGGAGGAGGGAAAGGGATTTAAGGGTAGGAACCTGCGTGAGGACCCAGTGTGCAATGCTGCATCTGAGAGATGTTTGAGATAGAACCGAACACCATGGCTTTGGAGGAGTTGAGATTGGCAGGAAAGAAAGCTGAGCAGTGGCAAAATTGTAAGATTGGTATCTACAAAGAGGCCTGAGACACAGGCTTTAGTGGATGGCAAACCTCTGGGATATCCCAGTTTCTGAGGATCACTAAACAAATCATCTCTAAGATAAACTGCTCAGGGGCTTGAGATGGCTCAGTGTTTAAGAGCACTGACAGCTCTTGCAGAGGACCAGGGTTTGATTCCTAGCACCCACATGGCAGCTAACAACCATCCACCACTCCAGTTCCAGAGAATCTGACACCCTCTTCTGACCTCCACAGGCACTGCACAACAAGGTGCACTTACATACATGCAGGCAGTACACTCATACAAATAAAATAAAAATAATAAATAAAATATTTTTTTGAAAAAAAAGATAAACTGCTCCAAGTGGCCCTAAGGCAGCTTGCCCCCTTTCAGGGCCCAATGAAGAGGCATGTCCAAATACTGAACCGAAGTGGTGTCTACCTTTTGTTCATTGGTTCTGGAACAAGACCAGTTGCTCTTCCATGATCAGAATTGTACTATTCGAAAAATAAAATTGTGACCTCCCTGCCTGGTGCTCTTTGTCTGAGCTACATGTGATGGCTAGGTATCCCCTCAGCATGCCAGCTGGTTCATTCAGTTCATGAATTTTAAGGATTTCATGTTATATAACAAAGACCTAATAGCTCAACAGAAATTCAGTGCATCAAGCTTAGGGGCAAAAGGAGGAATTAAAGAAGGATCTAATCCCTCCTCATTTTCTCATGTCTCATCTTGTCTAACATCCACAAATAAAGCTAAAGAGCCTTATAAATACTTACACAGAAGTACACAGAAGTATTTTATAATACCTGCATCCTACGCAGTACTTCTCAAATTGAGGTACATAGACACATGCTCTGGAGTTCATTAGTTCTCATTTTGATTTTTATTTTTGGTGAAGAAAAAAATTAAACATGGTTTATAAACCAGAACCAGAGCATTTGGATGCCCACAATACCCAAAGACCATTCTAGAATGCTGACACGCAAGTTCAGTGTCTGCTTTGGCACTGGTGTTTATTAATGCATGGTTTTGTGAAAAAAAAAATCTATCACTTTTATTAGCATTGCCTAATGAGAAAGGGGAAGAAAGAGACATAATTTGTTAGCCATGCCCCTAGGTGTGTATTTGTGTAAGAGTCTCCTGGGAATCCCACCAGTGCAGTTTCCAAAAGTGCATTCTTCAGTCCAGCAGCATCAGCACCACCTGAAAACTTGCAAGTGCACATTCCTGGGCCCCTCCCCAGACTCAAGAGAGTCAGACACTATAAGATCAGGCCTTCTAATTTCTGGTTTACCAATCCCTCTGGGGCTGGCAAGATGGCTCAGTAGGTAAAGGTGCTTGCATAAGCCAGGTGACTTGTATTCTATCTCTACAAAAACAATGTAAAGGTGGAAGGAAAGAACTGATTCCTCAAAGTTCTTCTCTGACTTTTGCATACACACCATGGGACATACATGCACACACAAAATCTCTCTGGATGTACATTCAAGTTTGAAAGCCACTGACAAGATGAAATGTCAGTGGTGAGAGAACCGAATCATCACAAGACAGGCCTGGCAGGCTCAAAGAACCTGTGCCCAGCAGGGAAGACCACATAGGCTATGGACAGCAATTCAGTTCTAACACAGCATGATCTATGACATTATGTTACTACTTCATTGAAATATGCTGGAGCCTTTTTGGTCTTGGTAACTTAACTTGTAAGTTAGTTTTCGTATTTTAATTATACAACGTCATAAATTACAGGAGCTTAATTCTGGACCCATGTGCTTGTAGCATTTAAATAAAAACAACCCAAGTCAACATGTAAAGCTATCAAGAACATTCTTCCTTTCAAAGGGGAGTCTACAATACTCACCCTGAAGAATCCTGCTCTGTTGCCTTTCACATTATGCCTCATCTTTGGGGGACACATGGCTTGTCACAGATGGGGTACTCTAAGTACTACAGAATGTCTCTAGAGGTAGAATGTGTGATAGTGGGAAAGGAAGCCCAGCTGATGGGCTTTGTTGAATGTGTGGACCAACTCTAAACCTTTGCAAAAGTTTTCTTTCTTCAGAGAGACTTGTAGGCATCAAATTGCTTGATTCCTTATCACTGACCTCAAAAGACAAAACAAACAAACAAACAAACAAACAAACAAAAAACCTGTAAGTCACTACATAACACCCTAGTCTTTGCCTATCTCCATTATCTAGTTTGGACCACAAATAAGGATGAAGGATGCTTATCTTCAAGATGGTGCCAGGGAACTCTATGGTTGGTCTAACTTGTCTAGTAATTTCCGCAGAGGATCTTGATTGCTTTACCAAACTGATTCCAGAATTCCAGTTCTTCTGGAGGAGTTAATCATCAATTAAAAAGTCACAAATCCTTAAAAAGAATTCCCTTCACCTTCATCCCAAGGTCTTCCACCTTTAACAAGTGGATAATAATGGTACCT